GTAGGATAATAGCCATGTTTTCAGACTAGAACTCATCTTGCACAAAGTGACAATTTATGTTTATATGGTTAATATAAATGTGGAGCACGTGTCGCAAGCACCCAAACAAAACCTGAATAATACCCTTGTAGCTACATACCTTTGAGGCGAAATAAAAGACCATGTTGCAATGTCCCATGGAATTACTTTAAAATCAGATGTTGTAATGTCCCATGGAACTACTTTAAAATCACATGTTGTAATGTCCCATGGAATTACTATAAAATGCATCAGGAAATGATAGTATTTCTTCCTAAGATGGTCCATCTATTGAACAATTTTCTTTTAGCCTAATGAATATCGGGATGAGTAATTGCAAGATACTAAAAGCCACAAAAATATTGTGAAAGTGAATCATGTTAATGTAGAGGATGCCTGACGCAAGCCTCCACTATCAACATGGCATAAAAGCTCCAAGGAGTATTTCGAGGGTATTTGGGAGTCCGGTAAGTTATTGAAAAAGCATAAATTTTATGTAGAAGCGGAAAGTAAGTATTCTTAACTGTGCTTAAAAGCTCTTCTACAGCCGATTTTAGATTGTAGGATTCATAATCTAAAAGCTCATAAGTATATTTCAAATGAAACCCTAAAAACCCTCTTCTTGGTATAGTTAAAGGCAAGTAAGAGACCATATGGTTCACTCTCTCTGTTTCTCTCTTAAAGAATTGTCATATCCCCCGCATGTGACAATAATACCATCATTATAAACAATCATTTTAGTGGTGCCATGCTTATAATGATGTCTAAAGATGGTAGTTCCGTGGATTCACGAACAAAATCCTAGAGTGAGGTGTAACATGATAGGTCATTTAAGGATTTCTTAAATTTGACAATCTTATAAGGAAATTATTGATCAATATTTCATAGTGGCTACTCCATGTAAATATCTTTGGTAAGTCTCCATGTAAGAAGGCATTGCATACATATGGGAATGTGTCAATTCCTAAAGAGAGTAACAAAAAGAACCAACCATACAGCCTGCTATTTCCCCTTTCCTATTTTAGCAAATTTTTTTAATGTTTGTGCCATTATACCCTCACCTTTTCTATATACTATTCACTTTATTCCATCACATCAAGGGCAACACATGAGAAATTTTTATACTTTTTTACTTTTTTTAATCTCCGTGCTAAGTCATACTGGGAGAGAAATTTTTGGACGGAGGGAGTACCATAATTAACACTATGATTATTATTATTACTACTTATTATTATTATTGCTATATACTATTAATATCAATATAAGGAAATTGTGAAATATTACTTCCCTAACCTAAAAGTGAAACTTATAACACATAACCGGTAATTCGTAATAACTAGTTTTCAAATGGATATTATACAACTTTAAAATACATAGTTAAAGTGTAACACAACAGTAAAAAAAATGCAATATTGGATATACACACACACACATACATACATACACATATATATATATATATACATACATACATATATGTGTGTGTGTACCTCTTGGGGGTAGTCTCCATCTTCCATTTGTGAATTTATTATAAATTTGATTCCTTGATGAATTGGTGTTGGATCAACATCCTTCTGAAATGGGAAAGCATGACAAATATATTAGAATAATAACATGATGCATTGTTTGACATTGTAAGTAACCTATAAAATCAAAAGATTTGGGGCCTCTATTCCATGAAATTTAATAGTAGTAGTAGTATTCGTAATAATAATAATAATAATAATAATAATAAATACTTTGTATAAACGAGTATTTGTATTATATTTAGTTTATATTATTTTATTGATTCCTAGTCTTTATGAAGTACCGTATATACACTAGGTTTGAATCTCTCATTATTTGTTATTAACCATATTATTTCACTATTCGATCATGATATCAAGAGCCATGCATGGTTTTCCTCTCCAATAACCTTTCCTCGCGCCACCTCTGTTGCGATTCACTGTCGAAAAGTGGTGACCATCCCTCTTGTTTATAATGGCCACTTCTAATATAGGGGAGGATGCTCCCCTCGAGAATATTATATTCCCCCTAGACTTAAACTATTTCTTCAAAATATTTTTTCTTTAATCCTTGTCAAATTATATGACAACAATTTTCCGTCTTGGTCCTTAACTATTCAAGAAGAACTTGTTGCTCACCATCTCCATTGATATATTGATAGAGCCACATCATCCCCATCACTCACAATGCTCACAAATATAAGCCGAAAATGGCCTTTGATTGATGGTCCGTTCTTGATGCCCAATTACAGGCTTGTATTTTATAATTATTTGTCTTGCACGCATATTTAAAATATCAACTTCCTACTTCTTATCCTATAAAAGGGGATTCTTCCATGCAAAATATAGATGATGTCATGAAAATCACTACATCTTTTGTTCTTGAAGCAGTTCCTGATTGTGATTTTAGTTATTTCTGTGGCGTGTCTTGTGATCTAATTATGCCCCCTTAGAGAAAAATATACGTACATTTATTTTGAAGAAAACTCTCAATGAATTTTTCTTGTAAGCTTTTCTATGAGGACTTCAATCTTAAGCTCAAACAAAAACTTATATTTGGTGGCTTTTCCTTTGGAGCGATGGACGTACACCACAGCTTATATACCAGCCACAATGCATGGAAACTCCAAAAGAGTTTGCAGTAGAGGATGCAGTAGAAACAACATTTCTCCTTCAGGTCATTGTAATGGTGGTCATGGACGAGGGCCACCATGTGAGGGTTTCATAAATCGGCTCTACAACAAGCGTAGTCATGGTGTTTGGGATTAGCATTTATATGGTGAACAATATTCTAGCCCTCCATATTATACTTATTGCATATATACTTAATGGTGTGTTTGGGAAATTAAATTTGGATTTCAAATCTGCATTCGATCCAAATTACTTGTTTCCGAACTCAAAGAATTTGAATTTGTATTTAGACCAAATTCTCCAAATTCAAAATTAAGTTAATTACAAATCCACACCTCTTCGCATGTCATTTACATATTTATTCTCAACTTCACTTTAATCTATAACTTGTAATTAAAGAGTGATCTTCTGTTTTTCAACAACAAATCCAAATTCTAGAAATGAAATTCTATGATTTACCAAACAATATTTGGAATTTAAAATTATGAGATCTCAAATATTGGAATTGAAATCTAAGTTTTCAAATGAATTCTAGTTCCCAAACACTACCTAAGCTAATTGTGACAAGAATTGTGTTTGGACATTGGCAAATTCACATATCATTAATTATTTATCAAGACTTCAAATCCTATGTTGTATCATGACTCTGACATATTGGAAGGTGATGTTGGTTTGGGTTAGGTTCCCTCATCTTACAATATTTTTGATTTAAATAACAAAATCCGTGTCCCGAACCTTAAATCTAACCTTATATCAATAACCAACCATTGTTCCCGAGATTAAAATAGCACTCTTGTGTTTACATATAAGAACTTTCAGATAGTGGACAATCTTTCTAACTAAGTGATATATATATATATATATATATATATATATATATATATATATATATATATATATATATATATATATATATATATATATATATATATATATATATATATATATATATATATATATGCCCATGTGATAGTGTTGTTAGCCTTGGTTTGCTAAATCTTGTGTTTTGATGTTAGCAAACAATATATGAGCTAAAGTTTGTTTGAGTGTTTCAGATACAACAAGAATCCATTAAGAATCGGTTCTCAAGAACTAAGTAGAAACACTAAACTAGCCTAGAATATAGGTAGAATTAAATTTAAGAATGTGATTTTATATGCCCTTTTTCACAAGCTCAATATGCACTAAAAACATGCTTAAAAAAATTTTCTAAACTCAATCTTGCACACGCACAAAAATATTTTTCGTTGGATATTTATTTTTTAGTAAAATAATCAAATAAATATTTTTGAAAAATGTATTTTGTGAATTTAAAAAAACTTACAACACAAAACTTGCAGATCTTTGCAATACGAGATCACAGGTTTTAGAATAAGTCAATTCCAATAAGTATAGAAGAAGTTATGGTCATTTTACTTATCTTGGGTTCCGCGCGTAAAAGAAATGCACTGAGCTATAGATGGTCGATTAGATGGACCGTTTTGTAGCAACAGTCGACCGTTTCGTAGATGTTTGGCTGAAGTTTACCGTTGCAAAAGTGCACGGTCAACCGTGGGTCTTTAACAGTCAAACCCCCGGACCGTCTAGACATATTTTCAGCGTAAAATAACACATAACAGTCATATTTTTAATTGGATATTCCTCCAACAGTTTTATAAACTTATTTATGGTATTTGGAGACTCTTAACAACTATATATATTATTCAAATCAAAGGCTCCTAATCCAATCCTATAAATACCAAATCATTCTCATTGATTTTGATCATCAACCCAAGCTCTAATCTCCCATTTCATATTCTAAAGTATGTTCTTGGTCTTGTTCTTCATTTGTTTGGCTATTTTAAGTTCCTTGTTCTTTATATCTTTACAAACACATTGAGCTTGTGATTATACGTATATGCTCTCATATTCATTAGTTTGATCTTGTATTGTTATAGAGATCATAAACTTTGTTCTTCATTGGCCAAGATTTGTACCATTTATTTTACGCTTTTATTTTTCCATGTTTTCACATTGCTTTCGTATTTCCCTACAATGATTTTATTAAATCGCAAAAATATTTAAACGCATTATTAACCCCTCCTCTAAGACGTGGGCACATTGACTAACAAGTGGTATTCGAGCACTTTCGTAGTTGAAAGTCTTAACTGCATCTATGAAAAAGATCTACTTGCGCCATATATATATATATATATATATATATATATATATATATATATATATATATATATATATCACTTAGTTAGAAAGATTGTCCCAAGGGGTTCCCAACCATTAAGATCTTACGTAAGGGAGGAGAGGTGGTTCAAGAGTATAAAGGTCCGCGTGAAGCTGATGGGATAGTTACATACTTGAAAAAACAAGTTGGTCCTGCTTCTGCTGAGATCAAGTGGAAGGAAGATGCAGCAAGTCTAATTGATGAGAAAAAAGTTTTCATTGCTGGTGTGTTTCAAGATTTTTCGGGTGATGAATTCGAAAAGTTCATGACTTTAGCTGAAAAGTTACGGTCAGACTATGATTTTGGCCACACACTTGATGCAAAACTCCTTCCTCGTGGTGATTCAGTTGATAAGCTAAGCCCACTCTTCGTCTATTTAAACCATTTGACGAGCTATTTTCTGATTTTCAGGACTTCCAAGTGGATGCTATGGAGAAGTTCATTGCCGAAGCCAGTATTCCCATTGCTACTATTTTTGATGAAAACAAGGAAAATCATGCTTATGTCAACAAGTTTTTTGATAGTCCGAATGACAATGCAATTCTCTTTGTTAACTTCAGTAGTGAGCTTGGTGCTTTCAAGCCCAAGTTCAATGATGTGGCTGTTCTTTATAAGGGAAAGGGAATCGGGTTTCTGTTGGCAGATCTTGCATCCAGTGCCGGTGCACTTCAGTATTACGGATTGAAGGAAGATCAGGTACTTGTACTTATAGTACAAGACAAGGATCAGCAAAAATTTATCAAACCAAATGTGGAACCAGATCAAATCGCAACATGGATCAAGGACTAGAGGCGGGGGAAGGTGGATCCGTTCATACGATCAGAGGCTATACCAGAAGTCAATGATGAACGAGTGAAGGTGGTTGTAAGGGATAGCCTTGATAGCATGGTTTTGAAATCGGGGAAGAACGTTCTGCTGGAATTCTACGCTCCTTGGTGTGGCCACTGCAAGAAGCTAGCTCCAATCTTGGATGAAGTTGCAGTGTTCTTCGAGAGTCATCCTGATGTCTTGATAGCGAAACTGGATGCAACTGCAAATGATGTCCCTACCCAAAAGTTTGAGGTTCAAGGGTACCTAACCCTGTACTTCATATCTTCAACTGGTGACATAATACCATATGAAGGTGATAGAACAAAAGATGACATTATTGACTTCATCCAAAAGAACAAGGGTAGTAATAAACCCGTTGAGTCAGAAGACTCGGTTAAATCAGACTCAAAAGAATCCGCAAAGGACGAGCTTTGAGAGGGTTGCAGAGTAAAGAGTGTGGCGAAGGCAAAGTTCAAGTTTTCCCAACTGAGAAGGCTACCTTGTTTTTTTTCCTACCTATTATTGTGGCTTTTGCAGTTTTGTTTTTGGATGAATAAAACGTTGTTTTTTCTATGAATGTGAGTGGGTGGTTTTAGTTAGGTCGTAGCTTTTTACGCTAACATAAACCTTCTCCTCCTGTGAGGATCAATCTGCGATTCCCATCACCTTAGATGCAAGACTTGAATTCTCTATTCTATTTGTCATTATCAAATAAATAATGCTCCATCCCTTTTTTTATTTTAAAAAAAACAAATATATATATATATATATATTAAAAAATCCTAATTTTTAGTTGGTCTTATTCTTTGTCATTTTTTTCAAGATTGTTCTCAAAATATTTTCCAATCTCTTTCAATGGAGGTAATTTTTCCCAATGTAAGAAGAGAATGGAAATGTTTTATCCAATTCATTGATTATAATGTATGGATTGTTATACTTGATGATCCAGTTAGACTGAGGGAACTTTCAAGAAATTTAGATGAAATGTTCAATATCGTGGCATGTCATTTGATAAGGAGTGCACTTTGCTCAAGGGCCGCATCTATTTTGATTTGAGACATTCTTTTCTTCAAATAACTTTGTTGCCTAGACTTGGTGTTTTTTTCTCTAGTGATATCTTTCATTGTGACTTTTTTAGTATATAAAAATCTCACAAGTTATGTTTCTCTTTGTCTAAAAATGTTACAAATGTACCTCAATCTTACGAGGGCATATTGAGGTAATCTCTCTCTCTCTCTCTCTCATAAATCTCTTTTTCAATCTCTCTCTGTCTCTTTATCTCTCTCTTTTATGTCACACTATGTATATGGTGCCTAATCATTGTACTTAGAGATACTATCCCTCTCCAATAAATGATAAATCTTTCCCCAAATCTCTCTCTCACTATCTTTCGCTTTGTCTCTCTCACTCTCACTCTCACACACACACACTCTCTCTCTCTCTCTCTCTCTCTTATATCATACATTATGTATGGTAGCAAATCATAGTACTTAAGAATAATATCTTCCCCTCATCGCAGCGGAAGCGATACCATCCTGTCCAAATCATAGTACTTAAGAACAGTTATTTATAGTCTACCTCACGGAGGCGAAAATGCCGTTTAAGAGGTACGTGGAGATCGGCCGTGTCGCTCTCGTCAACTACGGAAAGGACTATGGAAAGCTCGTCGTCATCGTGGACGTTGTCGATCAAAACAGGGCCCTCATTGATGCCCTTGACATGGTATCGGAGTCTCGTTGACTAAGAGGTCATGAGTTCGAAACTCAGCGCCACCCAGTTTAAAAAAAACGTTTCACATGCAAGGCTCGAAAAAGACTATGCATGCACGTGAGGGGGCGTGTTAGACTATAAATAACTGTTCCTGGGCCACAACCACAAGCTTGAGCTTTTGGTTGAATTGGTTCCTTGACAGGAACACTTTGTTAGGCTTGACACAAAATTAATGATTTATACTGTTTAATGATAAGGCTAGAGCTAAATGTTTATAATAGAACTTTAGTATGGGAGAGAACACTTTGTTAGGCTCTTTCAATTAAAACAATGAAATACAATTCCAAATTTTGTTACTTTATTAATACCGAGTAATTATGATTACTTTTCTTATTTTTCTCGAAGGTGGTGTCATCACATTCTTATTATATGTATGTATGTATGTATGTGTGTGTGTGTGTGTCTATAAATATATATGTATGTATGTATGTATGTATGTATGTATGTATGTATGTATGTATGTATGTATGTATGTATGTATGTATGTAATGTATGTATATACACACTTGTGTGTGTTTGTTAGAAAAACATGCATTCCGAAGCATTATATGGAGAAATGGATACTTACATGATCAGCTACAATAAGAGCTAACAAAGCCCAAGAAGTGTGAACTAAATGTGATCTGTTTCCTTCAAGGTTTGTGTATACCTAATAATATAAATGTAAATCATCATTCAATATACATAAATACACACACACACACAATATATATGTGTATGTGTGTGTGGTGTCTATATATATATATATATATATATAGAAACTATATCAAAAGTCTTACAAACATGAGGTAACTTGACTATATTTTTTTCAAATGATTAATGAAAATAAGTAAAGAAAGAGATGAAAGTTTGACTGTATGATAAGTAATTGGGTAGAAAGTTTTAAACTGAATGGAGTAGTATTTTATTTAATTTATAGCCCTTTATATAAATAGATGACTTAGGGTTCAATATTTTGTAGATCACAATTTAATATCTATTCCCTCGCCAACTAGACAAAGAACTTTGTTCATCTAATGATCAAACTAACCTTTTTTGAACTAGATAGATAACTTTCTCCCCATCCCCCATCAGGGAGCTGCTTTGTGAGCAAAAATTGACAAGCTTTACGCACAACAACACTATTACTGCAATTTTTCCCACATGTTGCCAATGCTTCCACAGCAAACCATGTCGCGTACGTAAAACAATTCCCCCAATTACCCGTCCTGCATGCAAATTACCACTCTTAGTTGTTTCATTTGATTTCAAAATGATTGTGCCGTTCATTATTTTGCAAAATTAATGAACAATAGATTCTTCAATTAAAAGTTATAAGATTAAAGTAAAAAAATGGAATACAATTTATTTATTAAGACAAACAAAATCTTTATTTTAGAACGTTCTATGTTGGACGTTTTGATTGAGTTGGTACCTCGATGACATGGTATCAAAGCCACGTAAACCTAGAGGTCACATGTTCTAACCACACCACCTAAGTAATGTTTACATACAAAGATCGAGCTAAAACTAATCTTGCAGCACATAAATTAAAAGGGCATACTATAGATTACAAGAAATCTTTCTTGGCTAACAACCATAACGCTAAAATTTTGGTTGAGTGTGTTCCTCTATATCCTAAAACAACACATTGATACTAAAGAACTATTTTGGAATGCTCCTCTGTTTTGAATTCTTTTACATGATTTGACTTGTTATAAGGTTATTTTGTGATTAAGACTTATGCACTTATTCATTCTAGTGTTTTTATGACATAATTACAGGGTGTAACAACACTAAAGTTCAGAAAACTATAAAAGTGTTGTTTATACCGATTTTAAAATAAGTAAAAAAAAAATAAAAATAAAATCAGCCACACTAATTCTACACAATACTTCCTCTATCCCAAAAAGTCCTTGTATTTTCATTTGGGAGATTTGAGGAAGAGATATTTTTGCATTGACTATTCCAAATTACCCTTGATGTGATGTGAAAAAATAGGACGTGATGGTATATTATTAGTGAATAGGTATGCTGTGAAAGATAGGATAAACATTAGTAGGGGTAAAAGTGATTTTTAATAGAGAGGAGAAGAGTATCATGGGACATACAAACAAATAAGGAGAAAGAGATTGTGGGACGGATGGAGTATTATATTTGAAAAATAGTAGTTGGAGAAATAGTAAAAGTGAAAAATAGTGGCACAGATAGAAGGACTAGGGAGTATTTGTAAGTTCCTTATTCTGCTCGATTAATATTTTTTGGTAACTCCCATTGACATTATTTTTGACAAATGAATAGTTCTACTTAGCTTTGTTTAATGCTATTTTGATTCTTTGTAGAGAACTTTAGCATCTCGTCAGTCATTGTGGTATGTCTTAAAGACAAAAATCCTACTTTTTAAAAAACTGTTCCAACTTTGGAGATGTGCGCTGTGTGAGAAACTGGGAGGGATAACAACATTGCGAAGCACCGTTATAGGATCAGTATACGAAGAAAGTGAATAATGACTTGGATAGACTAAGTGAATAGTGTATGAACGTTTTAGATTAAAGTTATTTTGGGGGGCATACTAAAATACTTCAAGCGATAAGACATAAGTAATCTAGAATGAGTATGGGATTTTTGGTGTCTCGAAACATAACCCACACCTTGTATTTTCAAGCAAATTTCTAAACAGATGCGTTTGTTGATGAAATAACAAAACCTTCGGGTAACATTCGATTGTTGCTGCTCAAACAATCAATGGCGGATTAGTTTGGACGGTTACTTCTGCAGTTAAGTGCGAACACTTGCAACTTATCGTAGAATATTCAAATGTTTGGGTTCCAACATTCAAATGCATCGAGCAGTTTCACACAGATGCTTTGGATATTTGTACATTCAAATCTTCATTATTTTGAAATCCATATATGAAAATCTAAAAGATTTTCATAAAGCAACGATGTCCAAAATATAAACAAGTTCATTATTTTTAACTCGACCCCAACGAGGGGCTTTGCTCTATGGACCCCGCTCCCGAGTAGTTATGTAAAATAAATGAATGATTTTGATTTGATTCGTGATCCATATTCGAAATCAATGATTTGTATTCGAAAAAAATGAATACGAATAATAATATCAATAATTATTAGAATTCAAACGGAAACAAATACAAATACAAATTTATATGTATTCGATTCAATATATTAACGAATATCTTCGAATTTAAATATAAACATTTATGCCTAATGTATTTACTTCATAATAAATATGAAGAATAATTTATATACAAAGTACAATGTAGGGGCAATGTTTGCGTACCCACACTCTCCCCAGAGCCTAATCTCGTGGGATGTAATTGGATTGTTGTTAGGTACATGTCATTCGTAGTACGCAGTGTATGATTAATTTGTGGGGTAATAATTTTGAAGCTATAAAATGTAAAAAAAACTCAAATTTTGAAAGTGAATACAAATGCGAACCGAATATCTGAATTTAATATCGAATCAAATACAAATAGTAATAATTATTTGAAAAAAACGAATATGAATATGAATACTGGCATCATTTTTCAAATACAAATAGAATTTCATAATATTCGATTCGATTCTTCATTTTACAACTCTACTCCCGAGGGCTACTCCCCTAGACCCTAGCTATAGAATTTTTTAATATCATTGAACGAGCATGCACTCCGCACCTCCGAACTCGATAACAACGTCTATTGAAATTCTCATCCATTCTAAGTAAATCTCAATTACATAAAATACGGATATTATTCTAATATGTCTTGATACGATTGTATTTGATATTATGTATTATGCTATTATTAGTCATCCCATGATAACCACAAAAGGATCCAAACACATGCATACGTCCAAACATGGAGCAGCTGCGTATGGCCATCCATAATATCCTGTTGGTTATTTGTTTGGATCAGAATTCATTGTATAGGCATTAATATATATATCAGACCATGTACATGGCAAAGACAGAAAAAAATATACGAAGAACATTGCTTCGGATCTCTTTATTTTTTGATTATTCTCTTTATTTTTCTATCATGGTATCAGAGCTTTAGACTCCAAAATTTCTATTCGTTAGCGCATGCTCTAGAGCGTCGGCATTGCTGAGGAATCACAGCCGACCATGTCTTCCGAGGAGCCAATCACAACGAACGAAAATAAAGTTTTTGAAGAACTTCCGAAGCGGCGTACGATTTCTCCGTACGATCTTCATGCAAATGACAATCCTGCAATGATCATTACACAGGTTGTCTTGAAAGGTGAGAATTACGAGGAATGGGCGCGTGGTATCAGAACCGCTCTCCGGGCATGGAAAAAGTTTAGATTTGTCGACGGGTCTATTCCGCAACCATCGGAGGACTCGAACGACCTTGAAGACTGGTGGAAAAGCCATTCCTTGATCGTTTCGTGGATACGAAACACTATTGAATCCTCTCTTCGCACCACCATTTCCCACATGAAGATGGCTAGTGAATTGTGGGAAGATATTAAGGCACAATTCTCGGTGGTGAATGGACCCCGGATTCAACAAATTTTACGAGAGTTAACGATGTGCGATCAGCGTGGCTTAAGCATAGCCGCCTATTATGTAAAATTGAATAAATTGTAGGATGATCTCAACGACATTGACCCATATCCTATTTGCACGTGCGGGAAGTGCACATGCAATATTGCACAATAACTCGAGAAAAAGCGTGATGAAGAAAAGGTACATCAATTTTTAATGGGCCTTGATGACACGATCTTTGGTCATATTTGATCTACAATTTTGTCCCAAGAACCATTCCCTTCCATGTCTCGTGTCTACCGCATTTTGACACAAGAAGAAACTGCTCGCGCTACCCGTGCTCATGCTCACCTGGAGAACGCAGCGTTTGCTGCCCGAATCACGTCTTATGATGCTCATGATGCTTCTCGTGACAAAACGTTAACGTGCAGTTATTGTAAAAGGAACGGGCATGATAGTGGTCGTAGCACAGCCACGGCGCCGCACACAGCACATGCTGCGGCAGTGGCTGGAGGTAGCGGACAGGGGCCAATATCGTCTAGAATAATTTCTTCGCTTACGACTGACCAGTGGGAGACAGTTCGTGCTTTGCTCGCATCCGTTAAAGACAGGTCTGTAGAAAAACTGTCAGGTATTCCTTTTACTAAAACCTGGATTATTGATACTGGAGCAACAAACCATATGACTGGAGATTTTTGTTTTCTATTTGATACACATAGTATCACGGGGTGTTGGATCCGGTTACCTGATGGAAAACGTGTTGCGGCCACAACCGCAAGACGAGTATGATTGAATGATTCTGTGATATTGAGTAACGTATTGTTTGTGCAAGATTTGAATTGTGCCTTGATCTTGGTCTCTCGATTGATACAGAGACTAACTGGTTGGTTAAATTCGATGGAACATTATGTATTTTACAGGATCATACCACAATGCAGGTGATTGGTGCGGGTAGGCAGAGCGATGGGTTATATTACTTTTAGCAATCGATGAGTGGGGGCGCAATGACAGCGACAAAGGAGTGCTCATTTGACCTTTGGCACCGACGTTTAGGACATCCGTCTACTAAAGTTATGTCTTTATTTCCTCTAGCTAATAATAACAAAGCTAGCATCTTAAACAAAGAACCTTGTTCTGTTTGTTTACGTGCCAAACAATCTCGAGCTAGTTTTTCATTAGGTAATAATAAGACTACGCATTTGTTTCAGCTTGTTCACATTGATGTTTGGGGTCCTTATCAAACACCAGGTGTGGAAGGTTTTAAGTCTTTTCTTACTATTGTGGATGATTACTCTCGTGGGACCTGGGTATATCTTTTGCATAGTAAATCTGAAGTTTCCCTGATTTTTCGTCAATATTGTGCTATGGTTGCTCGTCAGTTTGATGCTAAAGTAAAAATAGTACGTAGTGACAACGGAACAGAATTGAATGTTTGGATCCATATTTTCGAGATCAAGGAATTTTGCATGAATGTTCATGCAGAGCCATGCCTCAACAAAATGGAAGGGTGGAGCGCAAACATCAACATATTTTAAATGTTGCTTGTGCTCTCCGCTTTCAGGGTTTCTTACCGATTGAATTCTGGGGTGAATGTATTCTTACCGTAGCTTATCTAATAAATCGTACCCCTTCGGTCTTATTAAATAAGAAAACTTTGTATGAGATGATGTTTGGGATTGCACCGGTAATGTCTCACATACGATTTTTTGGTTGC